ATCAAATTGAGTCGACCTTGTGCAAATACGGAATTATTAAATTTTTAAAACAACTGATAAAATAGACATGCTTTAATGTAGCATGTTTTTTCACAGGGATTTGTCCTCGAACTCTTTGACTACATTACCTGAAATGTTGTTTGCCAACCTCTTGAAGCTACAAGAATTGTAAGTTACAATAATAACTAAATTAAAGCATGGAATGCTTTTAAAGGCTGCTTTTTGTGTTCATTTTCGTAGTCATGCTTTGTATCCTTGGGCAAGTTAATGCATTCGGCCATTTCGTTCCACCTGAATGTAGAAAGGGGTACCAAGAACCTCTCACTATCCTTTCTCAGTTTTATTCATCAATTCACTTTTCTACGGGAGATATAACGCTTATAACTTCATTAGTCTAAAAAGTCCTGGTGTCTGTTTCTTTGACAGGTTTTTGTCGTTTAACTTCATTACCTTCTTACCCGAAAGAGTGTTCATCGACCTTACAAGCCTTCATTTCCTGTGAGAGAATTCAAAGGGAACAAATACAACATTGAACGTTTATTCCGGTTTAACGTTGTCAAACTACATTTGCATCTGGATATCCTAGCCCCTCTCAACCATCACAAGCTAAACTAAAGGCAACTACTTGACACGTTCACGTTGTTTCCTGTCCTTGAAGTGGGAAAAAGGCGAAGACGACGTAAATGTGAATCCCCTAGACCTTTCTGAAAAGTTACAAGCCCAATGAAGCCATCAAACTATTACAATATCAGCAATGACGGGGGCGTAAAGATGGTGAATTCTCGGTCATTGTGACGAAGATTGGGCATTGTTTTTCTTTATTGACATAAGATCTGTCATGTTTTTTTTACAGGCATTTGCGGTCGAATTCGATCAACTCGATGCCGGAGAGGATATTTGTCAATCTAAGAAAACTAACACTTCTGTAAGTTAGAGCAAACATACCAACTAAGATTACTCGGGGGTTAGATGAAAATTTAAAACAAATGACAGTTTTCCAAAAGCCTTGCAACATCAAGTTCACTTATTTTCAGCAATGAGGGGATGCCCTCCTGAAAGACCTAATATTTACAAGGATTTTACCAATACCTATCAAACTCGTGACTGTTTCATACAAATTTTATTATAGCGCGCGAGACAGTAACACATTTCTAGTCATCATGGAAAATCTTCACATCTTCGTGTTACAATTTCTCAAAGCTACTTGTTTCCCTGATTGTGATATTCTCTCTTACTAGCCTAGTCTCCATAAAAGAGTGGGTTAAACGACCAATAGATGCGACAGAACCTGTTTTTTTAAAAAAATTATTTCTTTACTTATTTCTGTGCGCTTTTGTTTTGTTACCCTTAGGTATTTTTCTTCGAACTCAATTACTTCTCTACCTGAAACAGTTTTTGCCAACTTAACAAACTTGGAACATCTGTGAGACTCAACATGAGCACAAAGCATTAAGTCTTACCCTTGACATTACTAAATAATCAATGTTTTGTAATTTGATGGCTGCATTTGATAGACATCGAATCCTCAAAGCTTCCATGGTGCGAGATTCAAAATAATTTTAAAACTAAGAAATTTAACTGTAGTATTTCTATCTCATGTGAAATTTTGAAAATATTTTTTATCTTCTACCTTTTTCAAAATTCAGATCTTTTTCCTCAAACGCCATCACCTTTTTGCCAGAAAGAGTGTTTGCTAACTTGGGAAACTTGAACACAATGTATGTAACAACAATGACATAGGCATGCCTCACAATAGAGCTCCATGAACTTAACTACGTGAGGAGTTTTGCTACTGTCTTTAACAGAACGCTCCGCAGTAAAGCGGCCAAAAATTGGGAGCTTTCGCCAACAAGTCAGACTCTCCCGAGTCCGATCGAGGGCTTCAAAAGAATGTAATATTGTATTTTGATAGGTCCCAAAAAGTTCTTTCATACAGGGACTAATTGTGTCAGTATTGTCAATTGATGAGGAAAAATTAACTTGACTTTGTCACATGACCCATACGGCTATGCGAGAGAAATTCCATAGAGAACCAAAGTGAAAGCTAGTTTGGTTGAAATATATAATTTTCGAAATTTTCAACACTAAGTGGTCATAAAAAAATGGTTATTGACTCAGTTAGTTCGGGTCGGACTGGAAAACAAGGAGTTTAGGATGTCACTACGGCGAAGTGTTGTAAAATGTTGCTGAAAAAACGTAATCTATTTTCCTGTAAGACTTTCGCCAATAACTCGATGCGTTCGAGTGACTTAACTGTTGTCGAGGTTTCCTTGTTCAGAGGACGTAAAAGTTGGGAATTTCACGTTTAACATCTGTATGGGACGGCTAAAAAATCTAGAAAGTATTAAAACGCTCGGGTTTTGCTGCTGTTCTGCTAAGTACATCTTTTTTTGGCGACCTTCTCGTTGCCGTCACCGTCGTGGTTTTCTTAAATTCCCTAAAATTTCGATTTTGGTCATGAAACTCGAACCTTGATGCGCACGGTCATTATGACATGACCGAGAGCCAAATATATGCCAGTTCGCCCCTCCCACATAGTCAATAATCATATAATAGGGAATTCTGCGGAAAATTACGCCTGCGCGTGATTGAAATATTTAATGAAAACGAATAAGATAAACGTCAGAAAACTGCAAATTGCATGATACTGTGTGGTATATATCGAGTAGTTGTCGAATGTCAATTTTTACAATGGTGGCTTTAAGATGTTTCCAATAAATTCAAAGAAATCTCTATATTAAAGGGTTAAAATTTAAATTGGTAGTGAACTTAAGACACTTCTTCCGGTTTGCAGAAAGATATAATAGGAACGTTGTTTGATTTTTTTCAGGTCTTTTTCATCGAACGCTATATATTCTCTGCCCGAGAAAGTGTTTAACAACCTAATACTTATTAACTTGTAAGTAAACCCCTTTTTTGTTTTCAATAATCATCAGAAAAACACAGCTCGATGATGTTTCACATAGATTACTTTAACAGTGAAGGGATTGATGCCATTTCGATCTTCGACATCTTATAACAACTGATGTCGCCTTCCTTCGATTTTCCCTTCTGTTTATCCGTACGTCCGTAAGTCCATTTGTCTGTCTGTTTGTTTATCTCTTCATCCACGTTTCTATATCTATGTCCCTGTTTCCCTCCGTATCCGTTTTCACTTACCTTTTAGGTCACAATCGCAGTTTTATTCTAATCACGATACAATGCGTTTATTTCGTTAGGAATTTGTCCAGGAACTCTATTACCGATTTACCTGAGGGGTTGTTTGCAAAGGCGGATAAAATTCACGCTATGTGAGTAATTGCTGACACTAACGAAATTGAAAGGGAAAAAAAATATGGTATGTATCAATTTGATTTGAAATTGGAGTGAATAGCATATACCTGTATTTACATCAATTTGCGTTTAACTCAGCCTGTGATACACGTGTAAAACAAACAAGTCATTTTTTGGTTTGCCCTCCTTTTTCCATTCGTCTTCTTTTCTTCTGACCCACTACTTTATTTTATTACAATCAGCGATCTTTCTTTCAAACGCATTACCAGGCTGCCAGAGAGAGTGTTTGCTAACTTGTCAAAATCACTGCGATCTCTGTACGTATCAAAATGCTTTAAACTCATTGAAGGCAGTAAGAGTTTAAATTTTCAGCCCATAAAAGAATAGTCAAAAACATTTCATTCCTGGAAGGGGCTAACTTTTCGTTATGTAATCGTTGAAATAATTTTGTCCATATTTGTTCTAGGGATATTTCTTCGAATAATATTACCTCTTTACCTGAGAAATTGTTTACCAACCTAACAAAACTGGAATACCTGTAAGTATTAATAAGAATACCAAGTAAACGTGATGAAAAACTGTGTCCGGAAATAATTGTGAATCAAAGGGGCAAAACATATGTCTTTTGTTTCCAGTTATTTAACTTCTAACCGCATAGGCGTTTTACCTGAGGAAGTGTTTACCACCTCAACAAGTCTTCTGTATCTGTACGTGATCAAAGTGGTTGAGTTTTCATTCTATGTTGATTAAAGAAACGTGCTTTTCGAGTAGACGTACAACTTTCACTCTTTTACACACGAAAGAGGAAAGTAGAAAAAGAACAGGAGAAGGTCTCTAAACATGAACATCGTAAGTAAATTTTTTTGTTCAGATTGCTAAGCCACAACCTTCTGGAATACATTCCACATCAAGCCTTCTTCAAATTGGAGCAGCTTCAGTTACTGTAAGTTCTCTATCACTGGAGCACCGCCCAGTACTTATGAACGCCATAATAGACGATCGGGAGAAGCTATACTTTAAGCCTAAATAATTTGATTCAATATTCTGATGTAGCACAACTTCTCAATATTCATATTGAAAAAACTACATTTTTTAAACGAAGTTATCTAAAAAGTTATACATCAAGTATGTTTCAGCGTTTTTAAGAGTAGGTCCAGCTTTATGCATATGAATCGAGTGTCTAAAGCAGAGAGAAACACACACACACACACACACATATATATACATATACTATTCGGCGAACTTTCCTGAGGTGTTTCGTTTTTCAAGGGCACTTTCATATAACCCTATTAAGGCAGTTGGGAAGGAAGCATTTCGTCTTGGTTCTAGCGACCTAAACATGTAAGTACTATGATCTGAAGTTCCACGCTCCATTTCCGTCTTGACAGCCATTTGTATTTGCAATGTAACGTAAATGAGGCTAGTATTGTTTCCATTACCCTTTTTAAAACACCATGTTTAAAGCCCCTGGCAGGGAACGGTGTACTCTAAAAACAGTTTAATTTTGGCTTGGCAAGACTTAACATGGCGTGGCATCGTAATGCAGCGAAGGAAAGGTAACAATTTGTTTATGATTAAAATGAGAAAAAATTGTTTTGTGCAAACAGCTGAGCGCAATGTCTTGTGTCTTGTAATTGAATAGGATCCTTCATAGAGGTGATTGTTTTATACTTACTTTCGGAATCAAAACATTTTAAATTTTGCTTTCTTTTTTTAAAGAATCATCTCTCGATTTTCTTTAAATTCTATCTTTAAAATGTCACTTAATTCAAGAACCACTCATTATTCCATAAACCATGTCACCTCAAAAGGTATCTTTTAATTTCTAAGATTTTCGTATATTTGCTATTTTTTTTGTCAAAATATTTCTTTTTTCTCTGCAGATATCTTATACAGACAGATTTGAAAGTATTGACTTTCGAATCCTTTGACAGGATCAGGATTGTTGATAATTTTGAACTGTGATGTTTCTTTATTACCATTTAAAACATAATTTCATCTGAGCATTTTGCCCATTAAGAAATTTTCAACTGTGTCGAATGTTGTTTTGTGATTGGCTTAGAAAACTCTCGCTATCCTCTAAACCTTAGAAATACTAAAAGAGATTCATTGGAACTTAACGAAAAGAGCATCATTTTCAAAAATTGATTTAATTTTGAGTTCTCTCAGACTCAGTTGTGATTCCCGGACCTTTTCTCAGACTGGCTCTATGGTAATTTTCAAGAGGGTATCAGTGGTACCAATCTTTAGTTAAAAATTGATAAATTTTCAAGCAGTCGACGTAAAAAAGTTAAATTTTTTTTTCTCTTTAAACACAACAGAAATTTACCACTGGTCGTTAGTTTTTTCAGCATAAGCCGTAAACGTCGTCTCCTATCGAGACTGAGGTTTAGGTGTTACTGTATAAATCGGAAAGCGATCAAAATCTGTAACTTCTTCCAACCTTATAACATGGCTTGTTTTCATAATTAGACTCTATTTGACTTTAAAACTTAAACTCAGAATCATATCTAGAGTCACGAGTTCAATAATGGTTTTGAATGGTGTACTATTAGGAACTTTCTGACAAACCTTAGATCTGGAAGACAAAATGAAAATATATAACATGAGATGTATAGCTAATCCATGTGTTACACTGCGTACATTTTTCTAGTGTCGCATGGAATCGCACTCCAAGGACAGTGACATACTACTCGCAACAAGCGTCTTACACAATACATATGTCAGTATACACCTTTTGTTACATAAAAGTCGAAGTGCATCTACATACACTGCGACAATTTGCGGTGCTGAAGATGCAAATGACATTTAGGAACACCGTAGTCTTGTAGTCTTGATTCGCCAACAAGCAACTAAAGATTTTTTCGCGACCAGTGATTGGCTGGATTTGAACCTTTAAGATCTGCCCTTTAATCGCTTCATATGGTCTGCGTAGCCTCGTTTTATAAAGAGACACAGTTGGCGTTGTCGAATACCTCCAGTTTGTGATTTTAGAATCTATTAAAAATCTCGCAAGTTTGCCCTGAAATGTAAACGTGGCTTAGCGTTGGAATAGTGAATTCGAAACATAATCTGCCAATTGCCTTAAGTATTACAGAAATGGCACTTAATAAAGATAATTTCTCGTCTGGCTATTTTTTCGCGAGTATAATACACGCTTCAGAGGATTTTTTAAATTTGGATTAACCAGGACCATCGATTCACTTTCAGAAATCCACAAGTGGCTAAAGTGATTCAAGTGCCAGCCGGATCAAACTACCACCCTTTTCAACGTGCTCTACTATCCATAGGGTTTACGGAAATATCTGAGAGGATTTTTATGCCCTGTCTGACAGGGACATTTTCAAACTTTTTTGAGGAAGAAATCCAAAAGTGCGTGGAGTGTCCTCCTGGTAATAATTTCTTTTTAAACATAACTTAGACATAATGGCGCTATGACTGGTCAGAAACATATCGGCTTTTATCTCGGAAACCCAAAGAAAACTACAACATTTTCCTGTCTTGAGAAATGGCGCCACACAAGAAGAATTCCCATATTTTGATTTATTGAAGGCCTTTGGTTTGGAGGAAACGAAGAGGGAACTCTGAACGCTGAATACATCGAGAAAAACGTTATTTTTCGCAATTGATTTTAACTAACTGATCGCTACGTTTTAAGTTTTACTTGTGGGCTGCGCAGTAAAAGTTAAAGAACTTCAGAAATTCACGACTACATTTCCCCAAATGCTGCCTTTCCCTGTTTTTATTCAAAAAAATTTTGGCGATATACTAATTCAGAAATTTAATTAAAGTGCTATTTACATGAGAACGTAAATCACTTGCAAAGTGAATGTGCATTCAAGATTTATGGCTGTTCTGTTAACTGTCCTTGATCTCAGCTTTCATTTGAAATTTTTTGCTAAGTTTAGGCGTTTTAAATTAGTATTTTCTAAAAACTTTTAAGGAGGGCTCTGTTGAGGCTTTAATTTGAGCAGAGGCAATGGAAACCAATTTGTTAAAGTGTGAAATAAGTGTACCACGGGTGCATTTGTTTCGAGAAAGGTTGTCCTTGACATGTAATTACTCGCAATATGTTTCGGGGATATCGCGGGGCTATCGCGTTTTTTCCTTCTCGACAACCTTCCTCGAAATGGCTGTGTAAACAAATAACTGAACGGCGTTTTAACAGGTGCACACGGCTCGGTGTGTGGACTTTCGATTTTGTTGTTGTTGCCGAAGTGCGGTCTAATAAGATTTAGTCCTAAAAATGGAAACAAATTTTACCAATAAAAACTCTACAGCTAATATTTGTTACGATGCAAAAGCTCTGGGAGATTAAAGCTGTTTCATAGGCTTGCAGAAACTTTCCGTACAGATTATTAGATCACGAATATATACAGCTAAAGCAGTATTGTAATCCAAGCAATGGATTAAGTTGGGTAATGAAATGAGTTATCTGACAGAATGTGTTAGCTGATTGCTGTTATATACGATCTTCATTATCTTTCTTTCCTTACTTTTTACAAACTCTTTCTTGATTTCAACTTTTTTCCAGGTGGATTTTACTCAGATACACTTGGCTACGTGGCAGAAGGCTGTAAAAAATGTCCCAAAGGTTCCTATGTCGCTTACAACAAAAGGCCAGGAAAATCAGTTTTAGATTGCAAGGCATGTCCCCTCGGTAAAGAAAATGATGTCAATTATGTTGGTATAGTTCTAGAATGAATCATGATCATCTTCATAATTGTTTCTAAGTTAATATAGATCATGGTTGCTTCCTATTCTGTGTTGAGATTCGGACATGTGAACCAAAAAAAAAACAAAAAAAAAGGAAGCGTCAATCGTCGAAAAACAGAAATGCATGTGAAAAAGGAGATGAGAGAGTTCCCATTACTCTGGCGATCCCATTGCTAGCCTAATGACAAGCTCCCATTGGTGCTGCAGCACGAGCCGCGCGACCTGCAAAATTCTAGCCGGCGATTGAAGAGATTTTGTGAGACTTAGTGGGGAGTTTGAAATTTGAATAAGAGCCTCTCGTTTGCATGCCAGAACCTTTCCGAACCTCTCGCACATTCGCATCGCTTTCCCGTTCAAATAACGTGGAATTTGCTGCTCGTGTCTCAGGAGCAATGAAAGCTTGCGAGCTGGCTACCTCCTCGCTGATGCACGCAATAGTATTGGACACCTCAAGCACTTTAAGGACTGGAAAGAGGCGATCGTACGAAATATTTGTATATCGTATGCCCCAAGTGCTTTCATGCAATAATATTTAAAACAAACACACTAAGAGTCGGCTTCAAAATCTTTAACACTTTCAGGAACGGAAAGTGACTTTTTCGCTGGATATCGTGCTTGTCAGTGTTTGAAAGAACACTATCGAACCCATCTATTTCACGGATGTTACAAATGTAACCAGAAAAGTGGACTGATATGTCAGGATGATTATGCTTCATTGAAACGTGGTCATTGGTGGCACTGGCGTAACGAATCGTACAAATATCGCTACAAAGATTTCATAAAGAATCTTTTGGCGTCATTACCAGCTCTCGATGAATTCTCCGTGCAGTATCCTCATCCGATTCCGACGCCGTATAAGTGTCCAGTGGAAGACTCCTGCAAAGGTGGTTTGGATTCAGAATGCGCACTTGGATACGAGGGCCCTCTTTGTGCAGTTTGCAGCTCAGGATACTACAAGCAGTTAAAACCCTGCATCAAATGTCCTTCAAAGCCGTGGATTGTGGGACAGATGTCGGTGATTGCTGCGATAGTATTTTTAATAATTGCTTTTGCCGTGTGGAAGAGAAGGCAGAAGAGTGGGAGGACAAGAGGACAATTTTTAATAGACACGATCCTGTCCAAACTAAAGATCGTCATCGGCTTTTATCAGGTTACGCATGGCCTGCTCGAAGCATTTTCTTATATTAAATGGCCAGATTCGCTTCAGGATGTAGCAAAGTATTCGGGGATACTGCAAATGAATTTTCTTCAGGTTTCTCCTATTCATTGTCTTTCCTCAGGATTGTCGATGAACGCCTTCGGAGATCTGTCATTAATTCTTTCAATTAATGCCACTGTCATCGCCCTATCTTTTCTGGTTTATGGTTTTCGTAAAGTATGTATCATCAGAAACGGAAGCTTGGAAAATGAAGAACGGCTGAACAAGATATCACAGACCAAAGAACTTGTGTGCAGAAATTTGTTTTTCTTCCTATATGTTACTTACCTGAGTACTTGCACAAAGACAGCTAATGTTTTACCATTCGCGTGCAGGAAACTCTGCAGCGATGAAAATGAAGATTCATGCAACGAATACCTAAAAGCCGACTACAGCATCAAGTGTCATGGACCAATGTATAGCCAATTCGAAACTGTTGCCTACATTTCAACTGCTTACATCTTTGCATTACCAACCGCCTCACTCATCGCTCTTTGGAGACATCGAAAAGCACTACTGACATCAACAGCTGGTGAACCGGCCTATGATTCAGAGGCAGTTGCAGGATTGCGCTTCCTTTTCGAAAACTATAAATCTCGTTCGTGGTATTGGGAACTAGTCGAAACGTCGCGCAAAATAATCCTTACATCAGTCCTCATCCTAGTGGGACAAGAGAGCAGGTCGTACATTGGCTTGGCATGGGTCGTCGCCGGAATGTACGGAGTCCTTTTCTCCTGGATTAAACCCATACAGGACTCGTTCGAAAACAGGTTGATGACGACGTCCCTCGCCGTCACCGTTGTGAATTTGGGTGTGGGAGCAGTGAGCAGGATTCCGGTTGAGAATGTTTCAAAGGATTTCGACATAAACACTGATACCCTGGCAATGAAGATCTTGATACTTGGAGCGAATTCTCTCGTCCTTGGTCTTCTTGTTGGTAAGAAGTTCCACTTTCGGCTTTTTTAGATTGCCTGGCTGAGAGATGACTTGCAATGGAAACATATCACTATTCATTTTTCTGTCATTTATTTTTTTACTAGCTAGTCAATTATTTAAGTATTTACGTAGCAAAGTGCTAGCCGTACAGCAGTTTGATAAAACCAAAATGTAGACAAAGTAACAAATAAATGCAAAATTAAATTAAATTAAAATTATCCATAAACAATAAGTTACTTTCGATCTCAAATTCCATTTACCAATAAAATTAAAAAAGTTGGACCAAGGGAACCGAAATTATATAATTGAGTTAGCTTCTTTCCCTTTCTTTTTGAGTGGTAAAGCATGAAAAGTGACTATGATGTTGATATTTTCTCTAAGCCTACAGCATTTTCCCTTACTGGAATGCAAGTTATTAAAGACAGAAATAATGATAATATCAAATTTACAAATGATAAATGATAAAACAGGTAAAAATAGAATCTGAAAAGATTTAAGAGTGGAGTACTTACATTCAGTTTATGCTATTTTTTCCTTTATAGTCCAGTATTTGGTATATTTGCACCAGTACTTCAATGAATGGCGAAAAAACCCGCAATGGTCTTTCTCGTGCTGCCTGGCTCTGCTTCTTCCTCTAAATGACATGCAGGGAGACGTTCAAGGTGTGGTTGGTACGAATATCCTTGACAACCAGTTAGAAACAGGAATGATGGACAAACCGTCCATTGCTGATTGCGTTCAAGATAGCGGAGCTCTAAGTTTCGCTCTAGCCCCTGCAGAAGGCGAAGGCGATGATGTTGCTCATTTGGAATCACAGGAGCAAATCCGTATTGGTGCGAGTAAGCGTACCCTGGTAAAATCTAATCGTGGGACACAAACGGACTTGTTTATGCCATCAGCGTATGTTGTCGCTGCACAACAATCATTTGAGGACACGTATATGTGGTAGACATCTTGGTGAGTGGAAAGAAGTGCTCATGAAAGTCAATGCATTTAATGACACAAACACAAATTACATTACAAACAACAAAATGAAGCAGCATGAACTTTCTCTACAACGATATTTCTTCTGAAAATAATATTTCAAAAAACATAAGATTGGATGAATCCGTTATATTTTGTAAACCTCAAACCCACCCTAAACTCTTCCCGTTTGTGCTATTCAGAGATGTGAGACAAAAGGAAGAAAAATGTTGATACTTTTCCCAATTTCGGTGTTTATGTATTTTTATCGTTCTCATTTAGTAATGTGGATAGTCTTTTATTGGTCGATTGTTCATTTTAAAGTTTTTTTTCTTGTCTGGGTTTTAAAGTAAAATTCCAAACGATCAGTTATTATCAAATTTATTGCCAGAGAGCGGCTTTCGTACACAATAATACACTCATAAAAAATAATGGCAATACTGAATATAATTAATGTATTGACTCATTCACTTAGGGTTACACTGAGGTCGTTTAGATACCTATGCATCATCCCAACATAAGCCTTTTTATTTTCTTATTTCTTTTTTTAGATGACAAAACCCTACACGGGAAAATACTGTGACCTGCAGTTCAACCAAGACATAATTTACTCCTTTGTCTCATGTTTATATAATTTTCATCCCACTCGCTATTTGCGCTCTGCAACAGCTTTATGTAGACATACTATGTCAATCCCCAGTTACACGGAAATTATAAAAAATGTAAGAACAAAGGAGAAATGAGACACTCAAACAAAATGGAGTGGAGGTAGAAAATAAGTGCGGAACGTACAGAAGCATATTTAGTATTTAAGGTTTTCAGTTCGCATTCATGTTTCAGTCAAGCTGATATTAATTGTTCAGCGCGAGGTGTTAACTGCTATACTGTTAGTTATTGCCAGGAGGCGTTGCGTAGCAGAATGTGCAAATAATTACGATGCAAATAAAATCAGTTTTGTAGCTGTAACGTGGGGACTCGTTTAGAGAGAATTCCTTTCCAGGGTAGGTTTTAAAAGAGAGAAATTTGAATATTGATCATGATAATAAAGGGAATTTAGCAGTGGGCAAACCATGAATGAGGTGACTCTTCTTGCCCACTGTTGCCAGATCAAGTTCGAATTTGAATTTTTGTGAGGGAGAAAAACCGGTGGCCTCGTAGAATAACTTTAAAATGAACCTTTACCCAACCCATACCTTGATTAGCTGATACAGACACCAACACTCTGGTCTAAGAAACCTACACTAAGCGGAAAATTGATTATCTGTTCATGCAAAATTTTGTTTCATCAAAGACAATGATGTTCTCAGAACGGGCAGTAATGTTAAACATAGCTCTTTACGTTTATGTGCATAACTTAATCAATATCAAATTCCATTTGATGCCCTATCTTCAATTTTATCTTGCTCATTTCAGGTTCGATTGGGATGAAAGTTACCTCTTTAACTATGAAATTCACTTTATCATTTTAATCTTGTTGGGCCCAGCTTAAAATCATATTCATAGTCAAATCAGCAGAATTTCTATTCATGATGGTATGAAGGTGCCCTGACAAACTAAGAGGAAAAGATGACGCCATCGTGTGACAGAATGATTAACAGCACAAGAAAACATTGACAAACGAATTTTCTTTTAACTACATATTTGAATCAAAGACACTTAAAAACACTTTTAAATGAGCACAGAATTCAGAGTTCACCAATAGATAAACAAAGCTCGAAAAAGTATCTTCAATTCCCCGAGGCAAAAGTGAAACATATTGTTATTATTCTCACCCATCCATAGGTTAAATATGTTAGTTAAATATTGAGAGGCGATGCAAAATAACCAACCAATGGGAGGAAAGAGCAAAATGCTATATCATAGGGGAAATTGAACAGCGATTGTCTCTTAAGTAAACGAAGTAATAGCTTGCTAAAGTGTTTGCGTGAGCTGAATTTCTATTGGCTGTAAAAAAGCCTGAAAAGCTCCAGGTGCAAAATTTCTCACCACAGTCTTTGTGAGTTCGGCATGCTTTAAATGAGTTTAAAGCGCTGTGAATTTAGGCCACCACACAGATGTTCTTTCGCTGCGTTCTTTACCATGTATTCTGTTTATACCTGGGTTCTATTCATAGTCCAATTCACCATGATAGCAAGGACTGTAAGAACACAAGGTAAGTTTCAGTTATTCAAATATCTAGCACATGTAACAAAAGTTCAATTTCTGTCAGTGAAATTTGGCAGGTAGCCAGCAATCCATACGCCATGTAAAATAATCATTAACGCTGTGGAGATAGCAATTTAAAATTTTCTGCTTTGGCAAGTTCATAACTGCAAGGCTGTCTTTTTAAACATTGTAACCATAGTAAACAACAACGAAGAGGTCCTTATTCCTTCTCAGAGGTTAATTCAGTTCTCGATATATCTATAGCAGGCTCAAGTCCTTGGGTTGGGTCGTCTAAAATTATTAGAGACTTCAAGTTCCAGTTTTCATATAAATTCTCACTCATTGCATGAAAATGATGATATAAAAAACGAAAAAAACCCTCAATTCACAATTTCCTTAACAGAGCTTACGTTAATGTCATTTGCATGTAGATGGATAAACGTTCACTTAATTGTTTATAACATATTTTCGGCTTTTTTATTGAACGATACGATTGAACGATTTAATAAGATTTTTGCCGCACCAAAACATTCTAGCACAACACTCCATGACTTCGATGATCCCCGCTTGTTTGCTACAAATGCTACCGGATGTACAGCCAAATGATGGTGGTTATGATTGTGACAATGATGGATTTATTTTCTTTCAATGATAGAGTGCCTGTGCAAGAAACTCTTGCAAATACAAAGCCGCTTGTCGAAGCGGTTATATCAACGTTGGATGTTACTGCTTGTGTCCCGCTGGATTTAGCGGTCAAACTTGTGAAAAAGGTAAACTTTGTATTTGCAACGAGTCTTGAGGACATTCAATGGTGAGCGTTTTGGCAAGGGGGTGTAAAAGAATTTTTTTCGCAAATGTGAAACGTAATTGATACTATACTACGCTTGTGTTGCACTTATGTCACCAACAAACGATACACTAAATAGAACAAACAACGAAAACTTTACAACAAAAACAGTGGATTTAGCCCTTTTCACATTCTATAGTTATTGAGTTATCTTTTCTTATTTTTTTGGTAAGTGAAAATAAATGTGCGCACAAAGAACTATGTTAAAAAGAAATTTTGGGCTTACTTGTTCGGTGCAATGGTTTGTGGCCTTCGCTAGAGCCTCGTCGAAAAAATGATGCGAATGATGTCATAGAATCAGGGGGCTGCGCACAAAGAATGATTTTAACGAGAAAGTTTGGGCTCATTTGTTAGGTGAAATGGTTAGTGGCCTTCACGAAAACCTCGTCGATTAAGGTCGAGATTTATTGGGATGTGAGAGGTTCGCATTTAACTTTTTGTATCATGTCTAAGTTGAAACGTGTTTTTTCCCTTCCGCTCCTACATTTTATCACGTATTCTAACTGCCTTGTCCAACCCTACCGAAAAAATTCGCATGGAACTAAATGCTGCTAGTAATGAATTTTCCACTTTATTCTCCCGCGTCTTGACTTTTTCTACGTTTTGCTTTTACCTACTTTGGATTTAACTCAATCACTTGTCTGAGACTTAACCTAAAAAAAATGATATGAGATGTAATAAAATAAAAAAAAAAGAAAACTTATCATTTCCCTGTTCAGCAATGCCCGAGGCAGACAACACTGTCAACGAGGGTGTCGATTTACAGGTAACACGTAAATGAACGGATGAATAAACGAGCAAAATATTATGTTCTCCAAATTCATAATGGGTGGTATGATTGTCAAGCAAACACAAACATACCTACGGTTGCCATCTGATGATGATATGATAAAGGGTTACGAATCTGCAGTCCTAATTTATGTCCATTGAGACGAGGGGTCACAAAACTGTTTTTGTAAAGGTTAGTTTTTAAAAAGTGGAAAAATAAGCCCATTATTGCTGTATTGTCAACTTATTCTAGGACCCGCGACTTGCAAGGAAGTTCATGACAAGAAACAGTAAGTAAAACGAGTAAACTTTTATTTCGGACTTCGATAGTGCCAGGGACTAAACAGTGGTACATCACGGCCATGTAAGATGTCCCAACTATGATTTGAAAGCCCGAGGAATAGAGCTGTATAATGTTGTAATACAACTTTCATCAATTATCATCATTAATTACTTTGAATTAATAGAATACAAGAAAGTACTTTGGTTACGCTCCTTCTCGACTCTAAACCACTCTCTGTTCTTTGTCAAGTGGGTGATTTTGGATGTGGAGATGGAGGGTGGACACCGGTAATGAAGATTGATGGCAATAAGGTTTGTGTACATCTCTTCTTGTTTTTTGTTTGTTTTTACTACTTTTGTATTTTCCGGGATCAATAGAGCAAGGAGTAATTTTGAGTTGGTACAGAAAATCACCCTTTTGGAGAAGGAGCTAGTCAATTACTTTTGCAAAATAATAAGTCATCGATAAGGAAATCAAATAAACAACAAATAAACAAACAGAAGAACAGAAAGAAAATCCCCAGTGCTAGCTGTTGTATACTGTCAACATACTTGGGATTTGATTAGTAACACATGTACAATCCCTATTTTTGATAAGAGATCTGCAATGATAATGTCAACTAGATCAACTAAACAATGTTATCCTGCTTTTCGATTGCTCAGGCTTGTCAAGGTAATGGCTGTTATGAAGAAAAAACAAAACAAACAAAACATTAATGAAATATTTCCTGTTCTTTTTAAGAGAACCTTTCATTATAGCAGCTCTTACTGGACTGACAGAAACGAATACAACTCTCCTGGAGGGGAGACTGGGTTTGACGAAAATGAAATGAAATTACCCACCTACTGGAACACTTCGTTCTCTAGGATCTGTCTTGGTATGAGGATCGATCAACAGCTCAGGTTCATTGTCGTCAACAAGCAGGCCGACTCTTTGTACTCACTAATCGCTAATGGGAAATACCGCGAAACTTCACTGGGTCGCAACACTTGGAAGGAGATGGTTGGTGCAAATGCTTCTCTGCAGAAAAATTGCAACAAGGAAGGTTTCAATGTTGTTTGTCAGGCCACAGACTCCCCTAAAGCCAGGATTGGTATTGTTAGCAACCAACAGAACGAATGCAACACATGCAAGTCAAGGATCGGCTTTGGTACAGGAGGAAGACCTGATGATTCAAACACGTGTGGCAATGAAGCAAACTAGAGCCCGGATAATGGTGTGAAACACATCAAAGCGATGGGATACATTCTGGTACAGTAACGAACATGTAGCAATAAGTTAAATTAGCGAAATACAGAAGAGCCTAATAAAAGCGGGGATAAGCCCGATGTATAAAAGATATCAGCAGGGGATTTTCGGGAACTTTAATCCAGGATCTTATTTGATCTGAGCCATGCAGTCATAGACTTTAAATAATTAATAATGGGGGGTAAGTTGCCAAAAAAATGAGGTGCTGTGTCGGTGGAAAAGTGTATCAAGATAATTCGGTTTCATCAAACGAATTGATAATGTAAATTGGCCACCGTAATGGTTTCTAAGCTGACGTTTCGAGCGTTGGCCCTTCGTCAGAACGAATGGACGAAGGGTCAAAGCTCGAAAAGTTAGCTCACAAACGCTTTGCGGTGGTCAATTTACATCATCAACTCGGTTGATAAAACCAAGTTATCTTATACAAACAATGAAAGCTTCTTGTCATCTCGCGCTTAATATATCTTTATACAAACTCTGAGAGAATTGAAAGCTTACTGCAACTTCCGCCGATGTCTGATTCCTATTTTGACTCGGATACAGAGCTATATAGTGGTAAGAGAAGTAGCCAATATAACGAATTCGTAGTCAACGATATCGAATCTCTGGACTTGTACCAGTCGATCGTAAGTGGCTATTATATTGATGAACAGAAATATGTTTGAAATTTTTTTTTCAGTCGAAGCAAAGCTCGACAGCACTGTTTCATCGCGCTCGAATTCACATCCAGGACTGGGCTGACAATAGGCTGGTAGACTTCTACAATCGATTATGTCTCTTAAACAGAATCAACGAACCGACAAGAGTAACTAAAACATATAAAAGTCTCATTGATGTGTTGTGTCACGCGGAATGTTACGCTACAAGTGGCTCTTTACACCTTGGACTGAGCAATTATGACTTAAACTTCACCATGCGAAGAAATAAGGCCAAAGGCCAAAGCCGCGCTCGATCGAGCGTAGGAGAATAGAGAATTTTAACTTTTTAAACTCTTAGCTGACTTGAAAAGGGTTCCGTGGCCTTCGGCCTACACTTACGACAAAGTCAATGCTGTATGGGCTTATTGACGAACAATTTTTAAAGTTGTTCTTGACCAGCACGTGCCCCTGAAAAAAGAGTGGATTCGTGGCGACAAATGACCGAGGATTGGAAAAACTGCATTGACAACAAGGAAGCTGTCGCGGCGGTCGCTGCAGACCTGAGTAAAACTTTTGACGCGATTAACCACCGCCCTAGTGATGTATCTCTTACCATCCTTGAATTTTCCATTAACAAAGATTTACAAACTCTTTCGTCGTGGTTTGATTCTAACCAATTAACAGTGAACAGTACTACTACTAAAGCATTATCCGTCGGACCCTGTGACTATATTTATTCTTAACTTCTTAATTAAATAATGTTCAAATGACCCTAAATTTAAAAAGAATTGTTTCTCTTATTTATTAACTGAGTTATGGAACAGTTTGCCCTCTCAATTACGTCTTTCAAGGAATGCAAATTACTTTAATTGAAGTAAATTGTAGAGTTGTAGCCTCTTAGAACATGCCTTATAGTCTTGTTGTCACGTTTTTAGCTTATAGCTTTTTTCAGTTTATGATTTAGCTTTTTACATTTCATGTATTTATTGCTAGTTTTACAGTGTTTTAAGATGGAATTGTATTATATATTAGCTGTAATTTACCACAGATCTTATTGGTACTCGTTCTTGGCTCCTCGACGAAACCTGTTAAATTAAATAATTGATTGATTGATCGAACGACACGCTTTAAAACAAATATGGGGAGCCGCAATAGGAAAAGAAATAACAATTCTCCCCCTGTCCGTAATGACTTTACAAAACACATCACCAAACCGCCACCTGCTGTATTCGTTTACTTGCAAATCAAAAAACAAAAACAAAATAATGTAATGTACACTCTATTGATTAAAAATTTACGACATCGATCCATCCAAACTTATTCCTGCGTTGTATGATTTCAAACTTCTAGCGTTTGCTAAGACCGTACACGTTAAGCATAAGATCGTTTCGGAAGAGTAACTTTTACACTTACTTCTGTGCTATAAAGGCACGTTGAGTAAAGTCCTGACTTAAAACAAGAGAGTACGGTCGCGAAAAACGTTTATGTGTTTAAAGCCCTTTTTTGTACTGTGTAAATTTGGGACTCATAAACTTTTCGTTGATGCAAAAAAAAAAAGAAAATGCGCTTCAAGGATGAACATTTAGACACTGTAGATCGACCAAGTGTAAGCGCATATGAATTATAAATTACAGGCACCAGCAAATGTGACCGCCATCTTTTCCAAAATAAACAAAATTAACAGCTAATTTCAACATCCGAGTTTTTTATGGTTGGCAAAGAGATTACCTATGAAAGGCGTTAACGTTTAGCATACAGTGCATAATATATCGTTCAAAAGCATTTGAAAGGCCTGCAATCAGTTCACATCTTACACTAAGGGAGATATACGGGAATTTTCCTGTTTCGACTGCGTTCAAAATCATGCGTTCAGTTTGTGTCTGTGTTCCTTTATCGATCTTATGCTTCACTTTACCAAGGACTGTAACTGCACAAGGTAAATCTCAGTCTGATTCATATGTTTTACCTAACATAGGCTCTTTAACCCCGATTTTCTTATTTGGAGATAGCGTTTCGGGTAGTAGTACAAATTTTTACTTCGTGAACGAGAACTTGACAAATGCGCCAGCAATTTTTGCAAATCCACAACAAAGTAGTCCGAAAAAAGAAAAAAAAATGGAAGTTTCACCGTAAGAACGAAAGGACAAAGAGCAATTTCAGATATCCATGTATTGATGGCTTCTTTTTTTCCTCTGTATGATCGTATTCATTTTCCCTTTTCCTTCTTTTGTGGAACGGGCGTGTAGTTCAAGTCAAGCATTTCACCCTAATCAATAAGTTTTACGTAACTAACATTATCTATCCGCTAATGAGGGCAGCAAAATCATTTCTCCACTTATACAAGGCGTCGATCCATAATGTTTACGCCGAATGGAAGGTTAAGGCCAGCTAACCCAAACTAAATCTTCTGACTTGTCTAAATCAAAACAGCAGCCAGAGAAAGACTAGTAAACGGTAGCTCACTCCAGACGTGCATTGCCTGGTCGGCATGGAGATCGCATATATTCCATTGTTCCGAAAACACATGATCTCAACCCCATTGAAAAAATATCTATGAAGGAAAAAAAAAATTTAAAAAAATTAATTAATCGTCTCTTTTCCCTCTCTCAAATCATCTCTGTTGACAGAAAAATATTGGTTTCAAAAGAAATTTGTATAAGCAAAAGTGTTATTACGTTGGTTGACAAGCGGCCTAAAAACTGTCTGTAATTAATTTTAATTGTTCACAAAAAGTACCTAGATTGTTAAAACGTGAGGTATTTGAATTGGACCAATCGATGGAACTTTCATTGATTTGACATCTAAATTCTCTCAAACAATGTGTTCGTAGTGAAAGGGTGAGCGCAATTTTAGTTCTACAACAAACATACGCTCTCGGTGAGTCTTTAAAGTCCGTTCATGGAAATTTGTACCGTAAATTGCACAGCAGAACCTGAAGGAATTCAATGAGAAAAAGCCGTATTAACTCCCCTCTTGTCTCGTTGGAGTGTCTCATTGGAATTTAGTTTTCGTGGAGGAAAGGCCACATTTCCACGCCATTGCAGCAAACAAACGAGCAAACTCTTAAAACTTTAAAATAAAAAAAAAAATTGAATTTACTTACAACTACTTTCCTCGCTTTTTGCTTAATGATCAGAGGTAAATCGTCGTATATGAATTAATCCTTGATGAGAAATAACAACGCTTTCCTTAAGATCATTGACCATTTTTGAAAGAAACATTGTCGTGACGGTCCAATACGGACCTCCCGGCTGGCGAATAACATATATTTCTTCTATCTAAAAGCATTCTCTGAAGCAGGCTATTGTCGTACCCTGGAGTTCAGGCCTGAAAAAGCATTTGAAGGTAGACGCCTCATAAACCACGTCATTCGCGTCGTTGACGTTACGATGGAGGAATTTTGTGAAACGATGTGCTTTTTGGAACCCGATTGTGTCAGCATTAACCTTGATCGTCGGGCAGATGTATATGGAAAGTGTAAATGTGAATTGAATAATGTTACTCACGAAGGACACGAACACGAGTGGAGGGAAAACCCAAATCACTTTTACCACGCAGCTGAGGTACGTGTAATATATTTTAAAGATTTTGCATATATTATGGTGAGCCATAATTGACACACACAAAAAGTGTACTTAAAAGGCAATAGATTTCGCAATAGTTGCCTGAAACAAATATTACATTGCTCAAAATTTTATCACCAGTTTGATATTTAGTCTCGTAGAAATGTTAGGCTACAGGTTGTTCTATTCTAGTTTCTTGAGAACTCATTCTACAGTTGTTCCCGCTTAATTTTCAGCAAACTTGACCGATTTGAAAATAGCCAACTACTGTCAAGCTAGAATCTTTATTTTGCGAAGAAATCGCCGTAGTCTTCACATCCAAGGATAAGCTCGCTCTTGAATTACTAACACTCTCTTCTAACTTGCTGATTGCCGGTGGTCATAATTTTAGCAGTCATGGTTGTAATAATAATGATTTTCTTTTCGTGTCAGAGTTCTTGCGTGAAAAATTCTTGCATAAATATGGCCACTTGTCAAAGCGGTTTCACGGTCAGAGGACATCGGTGTGTTTGTCCAGCTGGATTAAAGGGTTATAATTGTGACGAAGGTAAATGACACTTGCGCTTTTGCTTTTTAGTATGAAAGCACTAATGAACTAAAGTAGACTTTTTAACCGAATTGGCCATTTGATATGCAGAAAACATGAAGATTAAGCAAGAATATATCTGGGAAATCATTTGTGTTCTACGGCGTTCATTGAGGACTTCAACATCGGAACCATGTCGATGTTTTGGTAAGATGCTCTTGCAAATGATCACGCTACAGAGAACTAGTTATCATACTTTACTTCCGAATTTGACAACTTTCACACAAACAGTAGAAATTGCTGTGATCGGAATTGCGTAAAGTTATGGACTAGACCGTTTCGGTTGTTGAAACGAGGTCTTAAGCGACTTTATTCTAAAGTGAATCTGTTGTAGCCCCTTTTTCCTTTTTATCATTTAATTTATCCATGTATTCATTAATTTGTTTTACAGACATCGACGAATGTACTGAAAGCTTACATAACTGCAGCAGTTATGCTTTTTGCAACAATACTGAAGGGTCGTACAACTGCACGTGTAAACCTGGATACACTGGAAATGGGCGAGAATGCAGATTCGATAGTAACCTTTTACTTTAAAGAAAATTTAATTCTCATTTCTTTTGTAATTAAAAATAAATCGGCAGTCGCCTTATCGTCGATATCTTTCAATTTCCACAGGAACTACGACGTGCAAGGAAGCTCAGGAGAGAAAGATGTAAGTAAATAAAATCAACGTTCGTGAAGCGTTTTTAGGTTGATTGTTGAGGTCAGTAAGGATACTTAAAGAACATTGAGATATACGAAAGAGATCGATATATAACTGCCATAACCAACTTGGTTAGCTGAGTCAAGATATGAGATGGTCACGTGCTAATTACTCTATTTGTAACTTGACTTCTTGTTTGCTTGCGTTACAAGCGCACGAGTATAAAGAGAAATAGTTCGAAATGGCTCGTTATTGAACTATCCTGATCCGTTTGGAGGGCTAGCC